GTACTAAGCCTTTTACAAATTGGTGAGTACTGGCACATGAGCTCTAGAGCAGGAGCAATTTCCCACACATAGTCAGTGGGAAGAGAAAGCAGTGCTTTGAAAGTTCCTCCCTCACCTACACAGTAGTCGTCATGTCGAGACCTGCCAGAGAGAGACACATTCTCAAGTGAATCCTGGCTTCTTGGAAGCGCTTGCCTAGACGAGACACAGTGCATAAAAACAACTTTTGGGGGACAGGTATGTTTTTCTTGCAGCTGCGGTTGTAAGGTCTTGGCAAGACAAGCAGTGTGGCCAGAATTTTGAACTGATAGTGTGTAATGCAAAGGACCACGTACATTTTTTGCTTAAAGGTCCTCAAAAAGCACATGAAGGAGGTTGCTGTGAGCTTTTAAAGTGGCCCTACTGCAGAGAAGCATTCAGATGTCACTTGATGATCTGTAAGGGGCCTTCCTGATACGGGAATGCATTAGGGAACACAAATTCCTTTTGGTAGACTTCATCACTGGGTGGGTTAAGAGATTTAACAAAGATGACATGTGCTTTTCTTCTCCCCCTCCCCCCCTTTTTTTTCTTTTTTTCTTTCAACCTCAATGGTATTCCTACAGGGAATGGATAACCATTTTAACTATTTTTTGCAGCCCGTACCTTCTTGGGAATACAATTGTCTAACTTTTTATTTTTGGTCTGGCTGTTGTGGTGTGCAAAACTCCGTACATTGCTATTTTGCCACACTGCAACACCTTACAGATGTGGAAGATGTGAAATTTGTCATCAATTATGACTACCCTAACTCCTCAGAGGATTATATTCATCGAATTGGAAGAACTGCTCGCAGTACCAAAACAGGCACCGCATACACTTTCTTTACACCTAATAACATAAAGCAAGTGAGCGACCTGATCTCTGTGCTTCGTGAAGCCAATCAAGCAATAAATCCCAAGTTGCTTCAGTTGGTCGAAGACAGAGGTTCAGGTAAGACTAACCATTAATAAGAAGTGATGGTTGGGTGGGGGGGATTGTGGAATTTTCTTAAGAGTCCATTTACTTGGGACTGTTTAAGGAGTAAAATCTTTAAATGCATTCTTAAGCATGTAAATTGTATTAGCACTATATGTATCGTGAAGGAGCTGCTTAATTGTTTTAACATCGAACTTGAAATGAAAATAATAAGCTTGTCATTATTTTTGACAGGTCGTTCCAGGGGTAGAGGAGGCATGAAGGATGACCGTCGGGACAGATACTCTGCAGGCAAAAGGGGTGGATTCAATACCTTTAGAGACAGGGAAAATTATGACAGAGGTTACTCTAGTCTGCTTAAGAGAGATTTTGGGGCAAAAACTCAAAATGGGGTTTACAGTGCTGCAAATTACACCAATGGGAGCTTTGGAAGTAATTTTGTGTCTGCCGGTATACAGACCAGTTTTAGGACTGGTAATCCAACAGGGACTTACCAGAATGGTTATGATAGCACTCAGCAATATGGAACTAATGTTCCAAATATGCACAATGGTATGAACCAACAGGCGGCATATGCCTATCCTGCTACTGCAACTGCACCTATGTTTGGTTATCCAATGCCAACAGGATACTCTCAATAAGACTTTAGAGGTATATGTAAATGTCTGTTTTCATAATTGCTCTTTATATTGTGTGTATCAGACAAGATAGTTATTTAAGAAATCTGGGAAATGCAGAAATGACTGCAGTGCAGCAGTAACTATGGTGCACTTTTTCGCTATTTAAGTTGGATATTTCTCTACATTCCTGAAACAATTTTTAGGTTTTTTTTGTACTAGAAAATGCAGGCAGTGTTTTCACAAAGTTAAATGTACAGTGATTTGAAATACAATAAATGAAGGCAATGCATGGCCTTCCAATAAAAATATTTGAAGACTGATAAGTGGAAATTGTACTTTATTTTACATATATAATGTCATGTAAAACTTGGCTTAATGGTTTGTTTTTTAAAATCATAAACACGAAATTGACTGTTTTCTCCATTACTTTAATTTTGGGGAGTGGGAGGAGGGATCAGAAAGCTTTTTATAAGGGTCTATTCATATTGCAAGCATTAAAGTGAGCTTGAATGCTGATAAATTGCATAAAGGCTTTCTGTCTAGCTTTTAACGTCAGTTGAATCATAAGCCGATTTTCCTTATTAACAACAGAATGGTTAAATGATGATAGTAAAGTAGATGTTGAAATTGTATAGCTCTACCCTCTAAATGCTTAGTTCAGTAATAACTTTGTTCCCTTTCCAAAATTTATAATTTGTGAAACTCCAAATAACTTAGTTTTTCAAAAGCTTTTGTGCTTTTGGCTATATTGTGAATTACTGAGATGGTAAACTGAAAGGCAACATTTAGTCCTATAAACTGGCCAAGTTTAAGTTGGATTGTAGGTGTCAAATGTTCTTAATGCAGGTTATATGTAGATTCTAGTGGTCACAGGCTTCCTGGGACTCTTAACTGGAGTCACACTGGGAGTAATGAATGTCTTTCCAGTAATTCAGGGAATTTTCAAGGTTTTGAAATCAGTATGATCCTATTAATTTATGCAAATCAAGGGGAAATCCTCTACAAAATTAATGCAAGAGGAGGCAACATAACCAAAAGCCCATGAGTACAAGTCTCCATGTTACGCTCAACATAGGTTTATTGGTAGAAAGATCCAGGGGATACTAAAGAATGAAAATGCCACCAGTCTATTCTAATCCATTATTTGGATAATTTGGAAGTAGGTTTGAAGGTCTTTCAAGAGATTCTGGTTTGGTTTTTTTTTTTCCAGGAGAGAAGAGGTCTTCATGAGACTTCATTTTTTATTAACCTGAGGCTTTAATTGGTATTTAATTGCCTTATCTCTTATAATATAAAATTCATTTGGGTGGGGGCTGTTGAAAGTGTTATTTCTAGGAAAATTACATTATGGTTAGTCACGTTCATTAGACTTTCAGGGTAGGTTGGAGCATTTATTACATATTTTATTGTTGAATGTCTTACGTAGACCTTTTAATTTGTTAACAATTGTAGAAATGATTGTGGGGGCTGTGGAAAACATTTACCTATTTATCTTTCAAGTAAGTTTTAAGACAGTCCACTTTTTATTAGCATGTGTGTTGTGTCCAGCCTGTGGTTGTCTTAACTAATAAATGTGATTTTTCTCCCCATTCTCTCTTTTTTTATTTGCGGATAGGTCTCATCCTGTGTGGGTTTTAGTGTTGAAATTCACCTATCGGTAGTGTTCATTCAGTTTTGCAATTAATACAACAGCCTGACAGCAGTAAAATTTGATGCTTAACTGCAAATTCTCATGTACTTGCACGAAATGGTCTATTCTACACACCTTACCTTAAACATAATTAATGTTTAATTACAATATTAGTTGAATTGTTTTCCAGAAATTGCTCCTTCCTTTTACCTCATGTTGTATCCATAATCACTATAAGGGGAATTTTGGACTTTGGAATTGGCCATTTCCCTGAAATTGAGCTGTACCAATTTTCCACTATCTGGGCTCTTTTGCTAAAGTATCTATCACAAGCCTGTAAAAATCATAGGTTTCTGGATTTTAAAATCATAAATGTGAAATTGACTGCTTTTGTGTGTTTGCATGCTTGGAATGTCAAGCCTTTAGAGGATCTCAAGTTTACCTATACCTTGGTAAACAGCACTGGGCTCTTTGATCACAGTTAATGGTTTCTAGGTGATGGGGGTGCTGGGTTGGCTTGGCACACTGCCCTATAGAGAGCCAGTATAAGAGGCAAAGGACACTTAACCAGCCTCTCTCCCATCCAAGAGGTTATATTTTCAAGGCAGATATAACTGCTGTTAAAGTTGCTCTGAAAACCTGGATCTTAAATTCACCATGTGAAGTGCTGTCTAGTTAATTCTGACATTCTGATCTATTGTCACTTGGTTCAGTGGTGACTAATGTTCTGGTGGAAGCTGTGCCACTAGTATTTCAAATAGCCAGAGGGTCAACTGGTGACACACAGGCTTCCATACTAACAAGCTAGGAAGAAAGGCTTAGATTTCCTACAAAATGTCAGTAAAACCTTAACGAAGATAAAAAAGAGCCCTCAGTATAGGTTGCAGGAAAAAAAAAAAAAATTTGACCTCATCACTGAATAATAGAGAAAAGACAGAAGTTGGAACCAATTCCACTGGTACATAACTAGAATAAATCTTAGAGGAAGTACAGCTATAGTACTCTAAAAGCCAGGTTGGGGAGACTTAAGTCTTATCCTAAGAACATAACAGGAGGGGCCAGTCCCTGGAGAAGGGATAGCACTACGCCTTTTTATGGAGGATCAGTTAAAAATAGAAATCCCCTGCCCACCCCCCTACCCCCAGCAAGATGGATGAGCACAGTGGCAGCGGCAATGGACTTGGGTGTACATTTTGACTTGGGACCTGCAGTGTGTCAATCTGTTGTGTATAAGGTCCCCTATGAGTCAGAATGAACTTGGAAGACAATATGGATCACAACAGTATTGTCCAATACAGTGTGTGCAAGTTGGGTTTTGGAAACAAGTGGCTGCCACAGTTAACATGAAAATGGCACAGAGCCAGGGAGTAATCTTGCACATAAGATTGCCGCGAGTTAGCGTCAACCCCATGGCAGCTAACAAGATTTTGATATTTTTTTGAATAGTAAAAAATCGGGAGTAAAACTGACTCAGTGGGTACAGCAAGGTTGTGGAGAGTAGACGGAAATAACCCGTACTGGTGCTGACGAGGGCTTGAGCTGACACGTAGATTAGCTAGAGCATAAGCATTAAAAGCTTACACCGATTTAGCCCTAGCGGATAGGAATGGCGGCAACGGCCCGAGCCTGTCGCGGGCTCAGCGAAATGGCGTACTTCCGTGGGCGGGCCTACTGCCGCCCTTACACTCGTTTCCGTCGCGCCTGCGCCGTTGTCTCTCGGGCTGTACGGTTGTGGCAGTTTATTGGACTCAGTTAACTAGGCGGGAGATCGGGCGCTTTCACTTTAGAGGGAGATGAGCTATAGTGCAGCGTTGTGGGTTTGCCAGAAGACCTGCAGGTGCCTGTTTGCTGGGCTTGGGAGTCGAGTAGGTGAAGGGCTGCTGGAACGCGTGACGGAAAGGAGCCACTCCTTTGGAAGGCAGCTGAGGTGGGACAGTGAGCTCCGTCGGGGGAACGAGCTGAGAGAAGTACCCGAGTCCGGAGAGGGGAGCGAGGCGCTCTTAGAGATCTGTCAGCGGAGGCATTTCTTCAGGGGAACCCAGCCGCAGCTTAGCCGGGAGTCTCTTCTGAGCGGCTGCCACCCCGGCTTTGGACCTTTGGGCATAGAGCTGCGGAAGAACCTCGCGACCGAATGGTGGTCCTCAGTGGTGGTGTTCCGGGAGCAGGTCTTCCCGGTGCATGCCCTCCACCATGCTCCGGGCCCTCCGCTGCCGGGGGACGGGGCCTTCAGGTTAGTTTCTGCAGAAAGTCTACGCGAAATCTTGCAAGACAAGGAGCTGAGTAAGGAACAGCTTGTAGCGTTTCTTGAGAACTTGCTAGGAACTTCTGGGAAACTACGGGAGAGCCTTCTGCACGGTAGGCTTCACAATTCCCTGCTTCAGATGAGCTATGGGGTGGCCAGGCTGACTCGGCCCACGGAAGGGGTTGCAAGTGGCCCACTGTTGCCATGGAAAGAAAATGACCGGATCGTCTCTTTCCACGTAGTCGGGGCTGGTGCCTGCAGGCAGCTCGGATAGCCCTAGAACTGGAGTTCAGTGGCACCACCGTCGAATTAGGGCCTGAATTTAATGAGGGCTTAAGGAGCTCTGGTAGCGTAGTGGATACGAATCGGGCTGCAAACCTCAAGGTCAGAAGTTCGAAACTACCAGCCGCTCCGCGGGAGAAAGATGAGGCTTTCTGCTCCCCTAAAGATTTACAGCCTCGGAAACTCTGTACAGGGTCGCTATGAGTCGGAACCGACTCCACGGCACTCAACAACAACTAGACCCCTTGCTCGTTGTTTACACAGAATTAACCAAACATTTTCGTGAGCCCCAAAATACACAGAATTTTCAATGAGGGGAAAAAAAAACCAACCGGTTTGAAGATCCTTTAAGTAATGTTTGTATGACTTAGCAAAGGAATCGGCTAATTATCTAACTTTGCAAGTAATTCTTGAGTGATTTGGATGGCACCAGTTGTGGCGCTGTAGGATCAGCACTGGACTGCGAACCACAAGGTTAGCAGTTCAAACCTCCCAGCTGCTCCTTCTGTCGCTGTGAGCCGGAACCCACTTGATGGTACTTAACGACAGTTGCCTTATGTTGATGTGGACTGGTAACTGTAAGCTTAGTGGTCCAAATCCATCAGCTGCTTCTCAGAAATCCTATACAGGATTGTTGAGTCGGAACCGACTCCATGGCACTTAACAACTAAGTTATTCCGAGGCCTGGTGGCGTTGTGTATTTGGACAACTAACTTCAAGGTCCATGACTTTAACCCACGGCTCGCTTCTTTAAAAATGTTGAAGTGCCCTTGAGTGGGTTCCTGCCCGTAGCGACCCTGTCTGTATAGGGTTTCCGAAACGGAAAACCTCTATGGCAACAGAAAATCTCATCTTTATCCCATGGAGCAGTTAGTGGGCTTGAACCGTGGACCTTGTGATTCGCAGTCCAGTGCTTATCCTACCGAGTCACAGGCTCTCTAAAGATACTGCCTCGGAAACCCTGTATCAATCAGTTGGCTATGTATGAATCAGAACAGATTCCACGGCAGTGAGTTTTAATTTGATGGCTTTACTTTAGGGAGTTCAATAACCATGTCCGGAAACAAACCAGTCCTTTCTAACTGTTCAACAGCATCACCATCCTCCTACACACAGATTTTGAGACTCAGGAAATGAGACTTAGCTCTGCTAACTGTCCATTCAAGCATTTGGTTCTGTGCTAAACATTTTCTTGCCTTCAGGAAACCTAAATTATTTGCCAAATCCTTAGGAGGCCTGTAGAGTTTTAAACTTGCAGTTACCATTTGCCTTTTCTTTCTGTTCTCAATGCCCTGGCTCTTTCTGTTTCTTGTCTGGAGTATTACAGTAACCTCTATACTCTATTTATGAGTAGTTTTTCAGAACTTCTCAACCATTGTGTCTCCAAATACTGGTACTACCCATTCTTGAATTCCTCCTGTGACCAATGAGACTCGTACTAGACCTTTCATTCATTTTATCAACAACTTTCTTGTGCATACTAATTGCAATTTTAAAGTTAGTGTCTAATGATTCACATATGTTTGTTGGTAATATATGTTTTCCTCTGAGCCTTTTTCTTGATAACTTAGGTAATTGTGTATGAAAAATTAGAGTGCTGTTGAGGCTCTAGGTAGTGGTTTCTTCTTCCTGAGAGGATCTACTTTTGCTTCTGACCAGTCGCTAGAAGTGGGCATCTGTTTTGAATACAATCAGGGATTAAGCTGATTGCAGGTTGGGCTTCAGTCTTTTCACTTTACCCCTAACTCCTAAAGTTTGGTCCTTTGAGGAGCTCAAAAGCAAGTCTCAGTGTTTGCCAGGGCCCCTTCTCCTTGGTTGGCCAGGAACTCCTTTGCTCAGTATTTTAGCTTCTCAGCACCTCCTCTTGAGAACTTGCAAAGCAGCATTCAATGTTGGGTTCTCCTTGTTGGTCCTTTCTGACCAAATTTTGGACCTTCAGGCCATGGCTGGTTGCCTTGGTAGCTCACCTATGTCTTTAAACAGATTTTTTTTTTTTTAATTTTTGACTAGCTTTCATCTGTCTTTATTGACAAACTAATCTTAAGTAACTTGAATACAATACAGGCTTATGAATGTCAGACAATCCATGTTTCCCAACTCTCATAAAACTTGAAAAAAAACCAAAAACGAGGTACATACAAAGTTTCATAATAGATGTTCCTTTGGTATTGTTATCATTTAACACTAATGATATGTTAAAGATAATTTAGTGTTTCTAAAACTATTTCTTTAAAAAAAAAAAGTATACCATACTATATACTAAGATAGACATTTGAGTAATTATTACCTTCAATACACTGAACATAGGTAGTTCCCAGATTTGGGTTTCAAAATGATGAATCAGTGCTGGGAGAAATGGCTGATCCCAGGTTTAGGTGACTAAACCTGGGATTTGTACCAGTAAATAAAGAATTGTCCAAAGACTAATGGGGCCACATCAGACAGAGGAGCTGGCTTGAAGAAGGGGGCTGCCACTGGCTAAATCATGGAACAAAGTGAACATCAAAAAGAATACGCTGTGTTAATGATAATGGATTATAGCACATTGAATTTTCAAAAACCTAAAGTCCATAATTGTAATATAATAATCAATACCAAAAGGTGGAGAAATCTTAAGTGTTTGTTAGGAGCTATGCTGTTGTGCTGTGGGTTAATGTGCCAGACGGCAAAGCCATTTGAACTGCAAAGTCGGCGATTCAAGCTCACCAGTTGCTCCTTGGAAACCCTATACAGGGCTGCTATGGGTCGGATTTGACTTGACGGCACTTAACAACAACAACAATGCAAAAAAAATGTAGACAGGAAAGATAAACAAATCACCATTTTACCATTTTGAAGCCCCCAGTTTAATAACTGATTCAAGCAAAGCTCATCAGTGGATTCTAAAATAATTGGGTGAAAATGATTGTTGAGGATGGGACTACACTCATAAATATATATACGGTTGACAGAGGGTATTGCTACATGTATACTTAGTATGTGCTGCAGATATCCTTGAGTATAGTAGAGCATACCGGGAACAAAGTTATGAAAACTTTTTAGCCATAACCAGAGTCTCTGGGAACATCAAATCAAGATCAGTTGGTATAGCATAATCCACAAGAATGTTTTACAATCCTACTTTGGTGGGTAGGGACTGGAGTATTAAAAGCTTCTGAGCAGCCACCTAAGGTGCAACTATTGGTCTCTCCCTGCCCAGAGCAAAGAAGAGAAAGAATATCAAAGATACGTACAAATAGTTCAAGGGACTAGTGGACCACAGGAACCCTAGCCTTCATGACATTGAGACCTGAAGAACTAGATGGTGCCCAGCTACCACTGCCAAATGTTCTGAAAGGAATCATAACAGGAGGTCCTAGAAAGAGTGGGAGACAAATGTGAAACCAAACTCAGTAACACCCAAGCTTACTGGTCAGAGACACTGGTGGAACCCCTGAGACTATGGCCCTTAGTCATTCTCTAAACTATTCCCATGATTCAACTTCCAGCCACACAATTGTTGTTGTGAAGTGCCATCGAGTCGATTCCGACCCATAATGACCCTGTGGAGGGTTTCCAAGGAGCAGTTGGTGAGCTTGAACTACCGATCTTGCGGTTGAAACGACTTTGCAGTCTGACGCATTAGCCCACAGTGCCACATAATAGACAGCCTTTGAAGTAAACAAATAACACCAGGGAGGTATTCACAAGCAACCCTAGAAGATCAGAGGGAGCATTTACCCAGGGACAAAGTTCCGAAGTCTGGAAGGGACAGGAAAGAAGGAGGAATAGAAATAGTAAACCCAGGGAAGCAGTGGAGAAAGTGCTGCCACACTGTGGGATTGTCATCACTGTCATGAATCAAATGTATATGAATTGTTGGATGGAAAACCAATTCACTCTCAAGCTTCGTCCAAACCACAGTAAACAGTGTAATTTTAAAAATTGTTCAGGTGGATATTCACTACCTTAAAGACTAGTTAAAATTAGTTTTTTCAGTAGTGGAATAATTTAATATTCTTCCTTGTATGATGCAGTAAGACATAAGTTCAACTACCTAGTATTCTTGCCAAAAATGATTAGCCTGAATTAAGTTATAAGGAGAAACAATTAGACAAATACCAACCATGAGACAGTCTTTGGTCTGGACTCATTAGAAGTCCAGTTATAGCTGAGTTTGTTGGGGAGGAGTCAGGTGAAATGTCCTAGATGAAAAAATTTAGGGAGACCTAAACAAATGCAATGCATGGACTGTAATTGGACCCTGGATGAGGGAGACAGCAAAAAAGGAATAAATGATATTTTGGGTGACAATTGGAGAAAATAAAGTACTGACTATATGTTGGGTGACAATTTTTGTGTTGTGATGTGTATAGAATATATTTTTATAGTTAGGAAATGCATGCTAAAGAATTTGGGGATGAAGAAGAAAACAAATATGGCAGAATGTTGACAATTGGTGAATCTAGATGAAGGGTATTTATTATAGTGTTTCAACTTTCAGTAAATTCTTCAAACTTAAAAGTTTTCTGGAAACTATCTAAAATTAAGTGGTAATCAGCTAAGATCTGCCTTATTAGCCACATGCTACTTGTGCTAACAGATTTGTCCATAACTTGGCAAAAATTATTTGAGTTTATGGACTAGATTTATACCATGATTGACTCTCTTTTGACAGGTGCCTTGGAGCACTATGTGAGTTGCCTGGATCTGGTCAATAAGAGGCTGCCGTATGGCCTGGCTCAGATTGGAACATGCTTTCATCCTGTTGCTAATACTAAGCAGACACCTAGTGGTGTTACAAGGTACAAAAAAATGTCAAATCACTTGGCCTTTAAATACAATTCCTTTTCGCTTTGGGATAAATTATATAATTTCCAAAGAAGTTAATTTTCTATATTTCTGTTTATCTAAAGAATCAGTGAAAAGACTGAAGCCTCCCTGGTATGGTTTACTTCTGCAAGAACTGCAAGCCAGTGGCTTGATTTCTGGCTACGTCATCGGCTGCTGTGGTGGAGAAAGGTACTACAATGCTCATAATGCTAGTAAATCATTTCTCTGTCAGAGGCAATACTTCTATATAACAAAAGGAAATTTTGTTTGATGGAGCTTATGTTTATAAGAGACAGCTACAATAAATCAGATAAAAATTTAAAAACCCTTCTTAATACCTCTAGTTGTTGCAGATAACAAAGTTATTTTGGTAAAGACATTTCGTGCCTTCCCTCTCTCATACTCAGAAACCTTTGTTGATAAGCCTTTATGTCAAGGGTAAAGGTCAGACTCCTCCCTAGCAATCCTGGCAGACATGTTATAGCTTTAGTTGTTGCTACCTACCTTTATTAGGTTTCCACGTTAGTCAAAATGGTTTTTGAGCTAACGAATACCTGGGCATTGTGAAACCCAATACATGCTAGATATTCTTACTGTTTTTATTACTAATACTCAGTTGTATTGATTTTTTTCCAGTTTCTCTGTTTCTGAAATGAAATGTCTTCTTCCAGATCCTTTACCTTTCAAAATCCTGTTCAAGTCCTATGTTCTCACAATCTACCCTCCTACCCTAATTATAAATAATCCTTCCTGAATACCCATACTTCTAGCTCTGCTGTCTCCTACATTGTAGTTTCTCTTCTTGTCTTGAGTTGCTATTTTATCCTCTTATTCCCTAAGAAGGTGCAAAGTTACATCCGTTCCTTGAGGGCAATATAGTGGGGTGGTTAGACGCAGACTCCTAGTCACATTTTTGGTTTTGGATTCCAACTGTGTGACTTTGGGCAAATTATCTCACCCTCTGTGCCTCAGTTTCCTCATCTATGAAATAAAGATAATAAAAACAAGGACTCAAATGTTAACTGTTTGTAACTATTACAATTGAGGTCAAATATCTTCATAAATACTTCGTACCCCTAAAAGTGTGTAGGGGAGAACAACATTTTAAATATAAAAAGTACTCAAAAATTTCTTTTAAAGTTAATCATTGTCTTAATTTTTTGCGCTAACCCCCATCACACTATTATAAAATGCATGATTAAAGAAGCAACAGTGTATCCGAATACCAACCATGGGACCATAGGTACTTCTTGGAGATGGAGTTGCTGTCAGGAAGAAAGATAGAAAAGGCCCACCCCAAATTATCTCTGACTCCTTTCGATTCTGTAATTCATAATTAGGTTTTAGATTTTATTGGAAAGAGTTGAAATAAGCAATTTGTCTTGCCTTTCTCAATTGGGATAATCATAAATAATCAAGTCCTTCACGAAAGGATGTAAATGAATAGATGGTGTTTATATGATACTTGCTTCCTCATCCCATATAATTTATGCTTACCTTCCCCCTCTCATTAATTGACCACAGAAAGGCTAGATAGCATCCACAACTCTTCTATGGGGTTCTTTCAGACTAAAAATATTTTTACCAATACATGTGCTCATATTTAAGTTTCACAATTTCTATTTGGGATTTGACTCAATTCAATCAGTTGTTGTATAAAGTCTCAGGTAACTTTTAGAGATGATGAAAATTAATGGTAAAATAACCTTTATTATATATAATGACATTAACAAGACAAACTTAAGCTCTTTTTCAGTTTGCAGTGAGTCCATCTAACTTCAGCAGCGGCGAGTGTCAGGATGAAGAGGGAAGAAAAGGAAACCAAATTTACTACAGTTTCCCCTGGGGAAAGGAGCCAATAGAAACTCTGTGGAATTTAGGAGATCGTGAACTCTTACTTACTTATCCTGGAAATGCCTCTAAGTTACATGTATGTTTTCTTTTGAGTTCCTATATGACCTGTAGCCAGGTTCTCCAACTGTGATCCTTTCTGAACTGTTTGAGAATGAGTTACAGACATAGTTCTCCATTACCCCTTAATACTTCAGGTGTGTTTCACAGATTCCTCCTCAAAATCAGGGCATTAGAAGTAATCCACTACAGGCAGTCCCTAGATCACTAACAAGTTCCAGTCCTAAATCTGTCTTTAAGTGGAGTATCTGCTTAAGTCAGAACAGTTGGGTATGGTTTTGTATCTAACGTCAGTCAAATGCTTGTCTTAGTTTATCGCATGTAGTGTACTTCTCTATGCATCAGATATTCAGAACCCAAGGGGATTGCCTGTAATGCTGACATTTTCTTTTTTAAAATATAATTTTTCCTGGTTAAAAGCATGGCTTTAGTATTATCATCCAATTCACAGGACTCTGCAAAGTTAACTGATTTTTCCAAGAATGCCTTTTAGCGGTCTAGGATCCAGTCCAGGGTTTTCTGTTCATATAGTGACCATTGTTTCTAGTCTCCTTCAAATAAACAGTTCCTTCATCTTTCGTTGTCTTTCACAACCATAAAATTTTGAAGACTACTTGCCAGTAACTTTGTAGAATGTCTCAGATTGAGGTTTTCTAAGAGTGACAATGTAGGATAAAGCACTGGACCACAAGGTCAGTTTGAGCCACAGGTTGACTGTTCAAACTCACCAGCCACTTCATGGAAACCCTACATAGGGTCGCTATGAGTTGGAACTGACTTGACGGTTCTTAACAACAACAACAAATATTTCCTCATGATTTAAGACATCATACCAGAAATACCACAGAGGTGGTACTGCCCTCTTCTCAATACATCAAATCAGGGAGTATATGATCAGTTTGTCACATTATTGATTAAGATGACCTCCACCATGTTTCTATAATGTAAAGTTAATAAGTAATAAGGGCTCTTCCCAACTTTATTAATAATAATAAAACAGCTTTTACTGAAAAGTGCTACCTCTCAAAATGTCAAATCGCATCTGAAAAACATGGTGATGACTGGGTTTCACTCCAGTGTTGTTAGTTCCAAGTCTCTGGGAGGGGCTACACTCACTGTTGGTGTTTTGAAACTCACAGTGATTCTAATCTGTAGCCGCTTGTGACCCACTGAGCTAGACCCACATTCCCTGAAAGGAGAGCATATGGACCCATGGCCTGGCATAGGCTTGACACTGGACAGATGCTCTGCAGATGTTTGTAAAGCAAATGTGTAATTCTGTATGCTGATTGTGTGAGTCTAAAATCTGCAATTTAAAGCAACAGTTCTCATAAGTGATCCTTTTCTTTTTGTTTGGCTTTTCTGTGAAGGGCCGAGATGGACGGAAAAATGTGATTCCATGTGTTCTATCTATAAACGGAGATCTAGACCGAGGCATGCTGGCTTACCTCTATGATTCTCTCCAGCTAACAGAGAACTCTTTTACAAGAAAGAAACATCTTCATAGAAAGGTGCTTTTGATATTTCAGAGATAGACTTGGGAAACAAAAAATAGACGTTTTTCCGGGTTTTTTTTTAAATGTTAGTGTGCTTGATTTCTAATTTAAAATTTCTAAATTTAAAGAATAGTAAGTTGAACTATTTTTTAGCTTTTGGGAATCTTGCCTTAGGAACAGCAGGTTCTCAGAATAGAGCGATCCCGTGGGCACTTCTGTTTGATTAAGGGGCCAGACAGCTATGGAATCTTTTTTTTTTTTTCCCATCAAAAGCGGGCTAGTAAGGAGGAGTGTAAGCAGGATTAAGACAGGACCAGTGTGACCTGTGCTCCTGCCCCCTCTGCACTGGAGAGCGAGGTTTTGGGTCTGGTTGCAGGTGACTGGCCACTAACTAGATCCCAGAAGCTAGATATGAACCTGGATCAAGGTTATTTTAAGAAAATTAGGAGGGAGGAGAGAGAGGAGAGGGTTTAAGATATATGTTAAATGACCACTGGAGATGCTGGGGAAGACCAAGCACGCAAGTGGAAGAATTGGTCTTGAGATGGAGTTTTTTGAAGTGGCTGAAAAGAAAAAAGGTAGTATGGGTATAGTTTAATAGTCTACTGGGACAGGCTAGCATTGAACAAGGATTTATTCAGACCCTCTTGTTTTCTCAGGGTATTAGGAAGTAGGCTAAGTTATTAAGGAGCCCTGGTGGTGCTGTAGGATAAGCAGTGGACTGCTAACCAGAGGGTCAGCTGTTCAAACCCACCAGCCATCTTCACAGGAGAAAGATAAGGCTTTCTGCTCAAAAAGGAGTCTTGGTAACATAGTGAGTTAAATGTTAGACTACTAACCGTAGGGTTGATGGTTCAAACCCACCATCCACTCTGCAGGAGAAAGATGAGGCTGTCTGGTCCTGTAAAGATTTATACTCTCAGAAACCCTAAGGAGCAGTTCTATACTGTCCCTATAGGATCACTACTATGAGCTGAAGTGATTCAATGACATTGGGTTGGGTTTGGTTTATGTCCTTCAAAGAAATCATATGCTTATTTATTTTATTGTCTGTTTCTACCCACGCTGAGGGATGGGAATTTTTGGCCCCAGCACCAGAACTGTTTCTGCCTCAGAGTGACCATTCAAATGTTGAGTGGATGGGTAAATGAGGAAAACAGTGGATTTTGATAAGAGAAAGTCTAAATGATAAACCATGTAGCCCAGGCTGGGCATGGAAGGAAGTGATGCCAGGGTAGAAAGACAGTTTGATGAAAGGAAAATAGAATTGTCAGAAAACAGAGCAATTCATTTATATTTGCAGAAAATCTAAGTGGAGACTATTAGGCAGCCAGATAATGACAATTCAATAAGTCATTGGGGGTGATATTTTATGACCTCAGCTAGCTTTTATTTTCACACTGAAAATCTTAACTATTTAAGAAGCTTCAAATTTGTTGATACTTCTGTTATGTTTTAATAAGATGTGCTTTCTCCCTCCCACTTTTAATTGCCTTAGGTACTTAAACTTCACCCATGTTTAGCCCCTGTTAAGGTTGCTTTGGATGTGGGAAAAGGCCCAGCAGTGGAACTAAGACAGGTGGGTTGAGTGAGTTTTAGTGTTACAACTTTAATTATAACCACTATTCCAAGCAAATAAGTAGCTTGACATTTAAAATGTTACTTTGACTTATTTGCTTAAAAAAAGAATCTTTCATTAAATAGTGAATGATGGATAAATGTTGTGGTTAATTGGAGTCCTTGTGTGGTGTTGTGGGATAAGCACTGGACTGCTAACCACAAGGTCAGTCGTTCAAACCCACCAGCCTCTCCTGAGAAACCCTATACAGGGTCACTGAGTTGAACCAACTCAACAACATTTAACAACAACATTGTGGTTAGTTATAGATAGCTCACAATATAATATATTAAAGAATCTGAATACAATTTAGTAGATTGTGCTTTTAAAGTCATGTTCAGTCACAGTTTCTTTTTTTAACAAGTTGTACTTTTGGTAACAAAAATATTTATGCAAATGTCTGGTTGATTATTTCTTGTCCTCTCCTCTTTTAACTTAATGTTTTTGAAACTTGTTGGTATAAGCAAAGGTTCTAGATCTAAAATTTATTGTTTGTGTTGTTGTCTGCTGTCGAGTTGGTTCCGACTCATAGCGACCCTGTATAGTGTTTCTGAGATTGGCTGGTGGATTTGAACTGCCAGCCTTGCAGTTAACAGTTCAGTACTTATCCTACAGCACCACACCGAGTCCTGATTTATTAAATATTTAATTACTAAATCATCTTGAGAAAAGCCATGGGGTGGTTGTCACTTCTTCCCAGAGACCCCATCTAACCTGTTGCAACCGAGTCAGTTCCGATTCATGGGACTCTGTAGAGCCTGGTAGAACAGCCTCACAGGGTTTCCAAGGCTGTAAATTATACAGACTCCAACTGTCAAATCTTTCTCCCGTGGAGTGGCTGGTGGGTTTGAACTGCTGACTTTTTAGGTAACCACTGCATCCCCAAGGCTCCTTCCGAGACCCTTCAGTGGTCATCATTTCTGTCTGGGTCATTAGGCCCACTTAGAACCTGAGTGAGGACACTAGCAAGATTTAAAGACTGAAAGTCCCCAGCTCTCTGACCCTGTTTCCAGTGGAGGAATTACAATGGTGGCAGAATGGTGAGTTCAGGGACCAAAAAGATCTTTGTTTTCCCCCTACCTTATTTTTCTGCATTTTCTCCAGGGATTTGGTGGTCTCCCTAAGGCCCTGGTAGCAAGTGCCTAGGATTGTTTGCCTGAAGGACAAAACACTCTGTTCTCTCTGTCCAATCAAAGCAGTGACTTTGAAGAGGATCTGCTGGGTCAATTCAAGGCAGAGGTCATGGTCAGCTCAGAAGTGTTTTGGGATTCCAATGGGTAATTTTGATAGATTTTCTTGAAGGACGCAAAATGACAAGAGGGCTTATTAGGGAGAAGCTTGAAGAAAATTGAAACCTACATTGGTGAGGAAAAGGCCAGGAAAGTTGTGCCGAGGAACTGTCTTCCATCACAGTAATGCAGCTACTCATTCTTCGAGGGTAGGAAGGGTTGTCTTTTGAGAATTTCCTTGGAAGACCTTATCCCAGTTACCCTATAGCCCTGTCTTACCCCTTCAGAATTCTTGTTGTTTCCCAAACTCAGCATTTAAAAGGAGCCCGATTTGTGTCCCCTGAGGATGCCAAAACTACCATTCTGACATGGTATAAATTAAAGAGCACAGTATTATTTGGGGAAAAGATGTTGTTAAGTGCCATGGAGTCGGTTCCAACTCATAGTGACCCTGTACAGGGTTTCCGAGGCTATAAATCGTTACGGGAGCAGAAAGCTGCTTCTTTCTCCTGTGGAACAGCTGGTAGTCTTGACCCTGAGGTTAGCAGCCCGATTTGTAACCACTACGCTACCAGAGCTCCTTCCAGGTGATTCTAGTGCTGGGTAAAGTTAGAGAAACAATGATCTGGGTTCGTCACCTTCCTCCTCCAGGGGGCATGTGGTAATGTCTGAAGACATTTGGTTGTCACAGGAGGTGGGGGCATGATGCTACAGGCATTTGCTTAACTATCCTGTCAGTAGTGTCGAGGTTGAGAAATCAACCTAAAGTTTAGTTCTAGATTTTTGAGGACACTTTTACTTGGACCTTGTTTTCCTTTGCCATTGTTAGTTAAGAAAACAGTAAAACTTACCCTGGCATTCACTCCCTTTTTTTTTTTCTTTTTAAACATTTAGTTGTGTATTGGGTGAAGGTTTAAAGAGCAAGTCAGCTTTCCATTCTATAATTCATACATGTTTTGTTTCATGTCATTGATTGTAGCAGCTGTTCTGTGGGAGAAAGATGAGGCTTTCTGCTCCTGTAAAGATTTGCAGCCTCGGAAACCCTGTACAGGGTCGCTATGAGTTGGAACCGACTCCACTGCATATAACAACAACAACAACAACAACAACTGTGTAACATCACTTATCCCGCTTCCTTCCTGTGGTTCTTAATTCTGTTCCTCCTCCATTTCTAATCCTTCTGGACTTTACCTTTTGGTTCTCAAATGGTTGATTATTCTAAGGAGTATGTATGTATCTCCCTTAGTGTTATTCTTCACCGTACAGACATTATCTGTGGTTTGGCTGAAAATTGAGCCATGTTGATGAGTTCAGTTTTAGATCTGAAGGATGACAAGGGAACATAGCATAGTCTCGGGGGTCCTAGAAACCTCTAGCTGACCATTAAGCCTGGTCTTTTTTATGGTTTTGGGTTTTGTTCTACACTTTTTTGACCCCTACTCTATCCAGGACCTTCTAATGTGCTCCCTTTCAGAACAGGGGTAGTGGTATATGACAGCCATCTAATTCTTCTGGTTCTCAGGGTCATGGAGACTGATGCTCCTGGGGTCCATTAGTTCAGTGGACTCATTGTTTCTGTAATTTTCTTCGCTCCCCTTTCTCTGGACAGGGAGAGACTAATAGTTGCATCTTAGATGCCTGCTTCTGTTAACTTCAGTCAGGCTTTTGTCTCCATCATGCCACTGAAAACTAGACTTGTCGAGGTCACTGATAACCTCCATCTTGCAAATCAAGTGAGGAATTCTCAGTTCTAATCTTAGGTCAGATTCCTGGTGGTGCCATGGGTTAAGCATTGTGCTGCTTAACTGCAAGGTCTGCAGTTGAGCCCACCACCTGTTCCCTGTGAGTAAGATGAGGCTGTCTGCTCCCATAACGGTTTACAGCCTCACAGTCCCTAAGGAACAGCTCTGTTCTGTCCCATAGGCAGTGGTTTGTTTATCTTGGGTCACTGTTGCTGTTGTTGCTAGGTGCTATAGAGTCAGTACTGAATCATAGCAACCCTGGTGCACAACAGAACAAAACACTGCCTGCCCGCTCTTGGGCCAGCCTCACTATCATTGCTGTGCCTGAGCCAATTGCTCCTGCCACTGTGCTAATTCATCTCACTGGGGTCTTCCTTTTTTCCTCTGACTCTCCACTTTACCAAACATGATATCCTTTCCAAGTGACTAGTCCCTCCTGATGATATGTCTGCAGTATGAGAGATGATGTCTGGCCATCCTGGCCTCCAAAGAGCACTCTGGCTGTACTTCTTCCAACCCAGATCTATTTGTTCTTTTGACAACCCATGGCACTTTCAATATTCTCCAACACCATAACTCAAAAGCATCAATTCTCCTATAGTCTTCCTTATTCATTGTCCAACTTTCACATGCATATGAGGTTA